CTATAGTCTAGTCTATAGTCTAGTCTATAGTCTAGTTTATAGTCTAGTCTATAGTCTATAGTCTAGTTTATAGTCTAGTCTATAGTCTATAGTCTAGTCTATAGTCTAGTCTATAGTCTAGTCTATAGTCTAGTCTATAGTCTAGTCTATAGTCTAGTCTATAGTCTAGTCTAGTCTATAGTCTAGTCTATAGTCTAGTCTATAGTCTAGTCTATAGTCTAGTCTATAGTCTAGTCTATAGTCTAGTCTATAGTCTAGTCTATAGTCTAGTCTATAGTCTAGTCTATAGTAGTCAATAGTCTAGTCTATAGTCTAGTCTATAGTCTAGTTATAGTCTAGTCTATAGTCTAGTCTATAGTCTAGTCTATAGTCTAGTCTATAGTCTAGTCTATAGTCTAGTCTAAAGTCTAGAGATAAGACCATGTGTTACTTTATATGTACCATGTAAATTGGCGGGGGATTATTAGCTACTGTTGTGTAGCTTTGCAAACTGATTTGTGAACATTAGGTGGAAACCTATTGGTTACTTTTTATGATCCCAGGTAATCTATAATGTAACCACTTCCATACCTTTACTTGGTGTCTTTGTTGTACAGATTAAAATGAACTGTTTCAGGATAATCTAGTTTGAAGTTATTGATAACATTGCAGTCCCTAAGTATTCCAATATGTAGTCACCTTGAACTGCTGGTTTTCTACAGTTAACATGTATAGATTTAAACATTTGTATGTGTAAAATTTTATAAAGGAAAAAGTTTTTCATTTTAAAATAATATTTTTTTTCTGTTCAGTTTTAACTTTAACAAGTTTTTTGCGTGTTAAACATTTCGAAATGTTTATTTATGTATGAGGAAATGTGTATATTTGTACGAATGACTGTCTGTCCGTTTGAATATGTGTGTTAAAATATACATACATATGTATATTTATTTAGCTTATGTATGTATATATTGAACTTTGGTTATACTTTTTTTTTTTTTTGTTTTTTGAAGGGTCTTAAATATTTATTTAAACTTTATTGAGTTATTAAAAATGCAAACGGAAGACTACTGTTTTATGTGACGTCTGTGAGTGTTTGTTTGTGCAATTTAAAAATTATAACCACAACAAAGCTTTTGTATGAAACAATATAAAGGATTTGTGCAAATATACATATAAAGTTATAACAACATATAAAATATATAACATAAACTATATGGCTAAATGAATTTATACAAAAGGCTTTTAAAAGCTGCCTTTGATAGCAAAGGGCTATAAAGTTTTCTAAAGACTGTTTGTTGCTTTTTTACACAAAGCAAATACATTAAAATTAATCTAAACATTTAAAGAAATTCTTTAACACATTCAAATAAATTCCTATACAATCTTATAATTTAGGCAAATATGTTAAGTAATTTATTTATTTTTTTTTTAAGAAATTTCTTTGTTTATTTAACTATTTCCTTTCCAATTTCGCATTCAAAAGTCATTCCAAATACTTGTGGTTCAAAACTTAATTTATTTTTTTCTAGGTTTTTCTTTTTTTTTGCGCTATTTTGTCATCAAACTTTGACAAACTATTTAAATTATAGAGAAACTAGAATAAGCATAAAAGAAAATCTGAAATGAAATTAATTCAATGAATTAAACTAAAACTAAACCCACATTTTATTATGATTCTTACAAGCTCCTTGGCCTACATTTTTAGCAAAAAAAAAAAAACTAAACTAAACCACACAACGAACAAAACATACTCTCTGTAACATTTATATAACATACAACACACAACAAAATAATCTTAAAATTTCAAGTGGCTTTTTGAAAGCAAATAGAACAATGAACAAGGAAGACGCTACTAGAGAGGGGAAAGGAAGAGCAGTAAAGCAAAGTTAGAAAAAACAAACTACTGAAGTAGTAGTGAAGAATGACAAAAAGAAAAATATAAAATTTATTATGATGAATTTAAATCAAGGTTGTTTAGTTTATTTAATACTCATATTACTACAACTAACGCTGCTATTGCAGCTACTGCTACTACTTCCACTACCGCTTGCTGCTGGAGAACAAAATGTCTCTCTTTTCAGTTCCTCTACTTTTCTCTCCATAATGAAAAAAACTAAATTTTTTTAACATTAAATAAATCAAAGTGGGAAACATCATCTAAGATTGCAGAAAATATTATCCAAGATAATAATCTCTATTCCTCCGCAGTAAGGAAAATGTTCCTGTAACGAAATTTTAACAAACAGAGAGAAATTCTCTTTAGAAAACTGCCAACAAACTCAACGAAAACTGAGACAACTTTTCTACGGAAAATTTCTCAGAAACTGAGACAAGTTTTCTTTTAAAAATTTCTCAACAATTGAGACTAGTTTTCTATAGAAAATTTCTCAGTAACTGAGACTAGTTTTCTACAGAAAATTTCTCAGTAACTGAGACCAGATTTCTGTAGAAATTTCTCAGTATCTGGGACAAGTTTTTTATAGAAAACTTCTCAGTAAATGAGACTAGTTTTCTATTGAAAATTTCTCAGTAACTGAGACTAGTTTTCTATTGAAAATTTCTCAGTAACTGATACTAGTTTTCTATTGAAAATTTCTCAATAACTGAGTCTAATTTTCTATAGACAATTGTTCAATAACTGAAACTAGTTTTCTACAGAAAATTTCTCAAAAACAAAGACAAGTTTTCTACATAAAATTCCTCAATAACTGAGACCAGTTTTCTATAGAAAATTTCTCCGTAATTGGGACAAATCTTCGATAGAAAATTTCTCAGTAATCAAGACTAGTTTTCTATAGAAAATTTCTCAGTAACTGAGACTAGTTTTCTATTGAAAATTTCTCAGTAACTAACACTAGTTTTTTATAGAAATTTTCTCAGTAACTGAGACAAGTTTTCTATAGAAAATTTCTCAGTAATTGAGACTAGTTTTCTATAGAAAATTTCTCAGTAACTGAGACTAGTTTTCTATAGAAAATTTCTCAGTAACTGAGACTAGTTTTCTATAGAAAATTTCTCAGTAACTGAGACTAGTTTTCTATAGAAAATTTCTCAGTAACTGAGACTAGTTTTCTATAGAAAATTTCTCAGTAACTGAGACTAGTTTTCTATAGAAAATTTCTCAGTAACTGAGACAAGTTTTCTATAGAAAATTTCTTAGTAACCGAGACCAGTTTTCTATAGAAAATTTCTTAGTAACCGAGACCAGTTTTCTATAGAAAATTCCACAGTAAGTGAGACTAGTTTTGTATAAAAAAAATCTCAGTAACTGAGACGAGTTTTCTATAGAAAATTTCTCTGTAACAGAGACTAGTTTTCTATGGAAAATATCTCTGTAATTGAGACTAGTTCTCCATAGAAAATTTCTCAGTAACTGAGTCCAGTTTTCCATAGAACATTTCTCAGTAACTGAGTCCAGTTTTCCATAGAACATTTCTCAGTAACTGAGACTAGTTTTCTATAGAAAATTTCGCAGTAAGCACATCAAGTTTTCTATAGAGTATTTCTCAGTAACTAAGAAAACTTTTCTATTGAAAATTTCTCAGTAACTGAGAATATTTTTCTATAGAAAATTTCTCAGTAACAGAGACTCAATAACTAATACCAGTTTTCTATAGAAAATTTCACAGTTACTGGGACAAGTCTTCGATAGAAAATTTCGCAGTAACGGAGACTAGTTTTCTACAGAATATTTCTCAATAACTGAGACTAGTTTTCTATTGAAAATTTCTCATTAACTGAAACTATTTTTCTATAGAAAATTTCTCACTAACTGAGACTAGTTTTTAATAGAAAATTTCTCAATAACTGGGACTAGTTTTCTATAGAAAATTTCTCAGTAACTGAGACCAGTTTTCTATAGAAAATTTCTCAATAACTGAGACTAATTTTCTATAGAAAATTTCTCAGTAGCTGTGAGTATTTTTCTGAAGAAAATATAATAGAACATTTCTCTGTAATAATCCAGTTTTGTTGATCCAAGTGCTAATATAAATATTAATTTAAATACCTTGTCCCACTGTGCATAGTTTAAGCTCGAAAATGTGTTTTAATAAATGACTATATGAGCATTGTAAATGTTATTGTTTTGTAATTGTTTAAACATGTGTGTGCGTATTCATTACTCCTCTGTATATAAGTATAAGCAAGAATATGTCCTTTCTTTCTAAATAAGTACATGGGTACGTTTCATAGTATGCAAGTATGTGTGTATGTAAATAATAGTAGATTGGTCTCTGCATTTTTAACTTCCGTTTCCGTTTGTTATGAGTATAATAAAAAAAAAAAATAATTCACTTGCATGCTCAAGTACACTTAAAAGTTAAGCTGATTCCTCAGCTTTTTATACATTCATATTGTAATGTAGATATGTATGTGTGTAAGCATGTATAAGTATTCTACTGCTTATAATACTACTTTTCTCTTAGCTGAGTTTTGTTGTTTGTGTACTCTATACTTTTATATGTACATATGTATTTGTGTAATTATTCACACAGTTTATGTAGGTGCAAATGAATTTGTTAGAAAATTTTTATTTTTATTTTACACATATTTTTAGTTAAGTTAGTGAGTGTGTGTGTGTAAGTTTGTGCGTGTATGTGGAAAATTGTAAACTTAATACTCAAGTGAGCATGTTTGAATTATAATTTCTACTATTTTTAGTTGTGTTTATTTCTATTTTATTTAGAAAAATATAATATAAAATGTAAATTACAGTAATAGAATTCCTTAACATTACTACATTTAGTAGATTATAGTTTTTTTTTTTTCTTTTCTCATTTTGTAATGAGAAAAAAAATTTTCATGTTTTTCCGCCTGTTGACTTACAAAGTATGCGTGTGTGTTTTAACTATTTAAATAAATGTTTAATTGTATAATTTAACTTTATTTGTTTTATTAATCTAATGTATAACACTTGTATTTTATAGTTGTTGGCTGGTTGTATAATGATTAATTGTCAGTAAATGGTTTGTTAATAAGTGTTGTTTTGAATCGACATCTCATTTCTTTGAACTTACCTCATCTTTACCCTTGACAACACACATTTTTTGATCATCTTCGGGTGAATTCCATACTAAACGTTGTTGTTCTTGTAGATCATGTATGCTTAAATTGAAGACTATGTTTCTGTAAGAATACAAAATAAAAATAATGATATGAATAACAATAAAATAGCAAAACAAACTGTTTTAATAAGTTAAATTAAGAGCTGAATTTATCAAGTTAATGAAAACCCAATCAACAAGAGCAAAATGTTTCTAAACATAAAAATAAAGTCTCAGAAAAAGGTGTCTCAGATACTGCGTAATTTTCTATAGAAAAAATGCCTCAGATACTGAGACATTTTCTATAGAAAAGTGTCTTAGATACTGAGACTTTTTCCAAGGAATTAGTCTCAAATACGGAGAAATTTTCTATGGAAATATTGTCTCAGATACTGAGTCATTAGAGTCTCAGATACTGAGAAATTTTCTTTAGAAAATGTGTTTCAGATTCTGAAAAATTTTTTATAGAAAATGTGTCTCAGATTCTGAGAAATTTTTTATAGAAAATGTGTCTCAGATTCTTAGAAATCTTCTATAGAAAATATGTCTCAGATTCTGAGAAATTTCCTATAGAAAATGTGTCTCAGATTGTGAGAAATTTTCTATGGAAAAGTGTCTCAGATAAAGTGTCTCAGATAATGACTAATTTTCTATAGGAAAAGTGTCTCAGATTCTGCGAAATTTTCTATGGAAAAAGTGTCTGAGATTCTGAGAAATTTTCTATGGAAAAAATGTCTCAGATTCTGAGAAATTTTCTATGGAAAAAGTGTCTCAGATTCTGAGAAATTTTCTATAGAAAAAGTATCTCAGATTCTGAGAAATTTTCTATAGAAAATGTGTCTCAGATTCTGAGAAATTTTCTATAGAAAAAGTTACTCATATTCTGATAAATTTTTTATAGAAAATGTGTCTCAGATTCTGAGAAATTTTCTATAGAAAATGTGTCTCAGATTCTGAGAAGTTTTCTATAGAAAATGTTGCTCAGATTCTGAGAAGCTTTTTATAGAAAATGTTGCTCAGATGCTGAGAAGCTTTCTATAGAAAAAGTTACTCAGATTCTGAGAAGCTTTCTATAGAAAAAGTTACTCAGATTCTGAGAAATTTTCTATAGAAAAAGTTACTCAGATTCTGAAAAATTTTCTATAGAAATTTTCTATAAAAAAAGTTACTCGGATTCTGAGAAATTTTCTATAGAAAATATGTCTCAGATTATGAGAAATTTTCTATAGAAAAAGTGTCTCAGATTCTGAGAAATTTTCTATAGAAAATGTGTCTCAGATTCTGAGAAATTTTCTATAGAAAATGTATCTTAGATTCTGAGAAATTTTTTATGGAAATGTGTCTCAGATTCTGAGAAATTTTCTATAGAAAATATGTCTCAGATTCTGAGAAATTTTCTGTAGAAAATGTGTCTCAGATTCTATAGAAAATTTGTCTCAGATTCTGAGAAATTTTCTATAGAAAATGTGTCTCAGATTCTGAGAAATTTTCTATAGAAAATGTGTCTCAGATTCTGAGAAATTTTCTATAGAAAAAGTGTCTCAGATTCTGAGAAATTTTCTATAGAAAATGTGTCTCCGTTATTGAAAGACGTTTTGTAGTTAATTTTTCTCAATTACTGAGCAATTTTTATGAGAAAACTGAAATTTGTAAACATTTAAAGTTTTATGAGAAATCTTTTAATTAAATTTACATGAGGTATGCAGCTCATAAAACCTTGTGCAAAGTTATAACTACCAAAAGTAGAAGAAAAAAAGGTCCGACGTTTTTAGCCCTGAAACACAAAAAAAAATCTTTAGAAAAACATATGACACAGCCTGCGTTACAGAAATGTTATCTGTAGTTGTGTATTTCTATATATGGACCAGTTCTATTACCACATTTCACAAACGCTAATTAAAATTGCGTAGTATTTGTATGAAAATAAACACATGTACCAATGTAAACACACAAACATCTACAATAGTAAATAAGCCCTGCAGTTGGTAGTAGCTGTCCCAAAATTTAAAATATCAAATGAAAAATATATAAATTTTTAACAAACATTTGAAAAGAATACCATCTAAAAGGGATACCATTCTTGGTAAATTTGTTGGGATGTTAGTTATCACTGTGATAGTGTCTGTCTGCTCACACATCTGTACTTATGTGGTAGTGGTGGTTTGTCTAAACGCGTCAAAGAAATTATTGTGTAGACCAACAGAAACACAAAAAACCCGAAACTGGCAACCTAAAATAAAATGGCTGAAAAAATATGTAGTTTGAAAAAAAAAATTCCTTTAAAAACAGTAACAACAGCAGCAGCAATAACAACAGCAAAAATTTTAACAATATGAAATTAGTATGATTGTTTGTTTTGTGGAAAAAAAAGAAAAATTCATCCTAAAAATGTATAATATACATTGTATATGTGTGCGTATATTAACACACATGTAGACAAAATAACAAATACATGGCTGGTAACAATGTTTACATTTAACAAAAATTCATATAAATGTAAATTTATAGCCACGATTACAGTGGGCTCTTTTAATGAGAAATTTTATATAGAACAATAGTCTTTTTTAATGAGAAATTTTCTATAGAAATCTATTCTCAGTTATTGAGAAATGTTCTATATAAAACTTGCCTCAGTTACAGAGAAATTTCGTATAGAAAACTAATCTCAGTTACTGAGAAATTTTCTTTAGAAAACTAGTCTCAGGTGCTGAAAAATTTTCTATAGAAAACTAGTCTCAGTTACTGAGAAATTTTCTATAGAAAACTAGTCTCAGTTACTGGGAAATTTTCCATAGAAAACTAATCTCTGTTAATGATAAATTTTCTATAGAAAACTAGCCCCAATTACTGAGAAATTTTCTATAGAAAACTAGTCTCAATTACTGATAAATTTTCTATAGAAGACTAGTCTCAGTTACTGAAAAATTTTCTATAGAAAACTAGTCTCAATTGCTGAGAAATTTTCTATAGGAAATTAGTCTCACTTACTGAAAATTTTTCTATAGAAAATAAGTCTCAGTTACTGAGAAATGTTCTATAGAAAACTTGACTCAGTTACTGAGAAATTTTCTAGAGAAAACTAGTTTCAGTTATTGAGAAATTTTCTATAGAAAACTAGTCTCAGTTACTGAGAAATTTTCTATAGAAAACTAGTCTCAGTTACTGAGAAATTTTCTATAGAAAACTAGTCTCAGTTACTGAGAAATTTTCTATAGAAAACTAGTCTCAGTTACTGAGAAATTTTCTATAGAAAACTATCTTCAATTAAAGAGAAATTTTGTTTAGGAAATTAGTCTCACTTACTGAAAATTTTTCTATAGAAAATAAGTCTCAGTTACTGAGAAATGTTCTATAGAAAACTTGACTCAGTTACTGAGAAATTTTCTATAGAAAACTAGTCTCAGTTACTGAGAAATTTTCTATAGAAAACTAGTCTCAGTTGCTAAGAAATTTTCTATAGAAAACTAGTCTTAGTTACTAAGAAATTTTCTTTAGAAAACTACTCTCAGTTGCTGAGAAATTTTCTATAGAAAACTACTCTCAGTTGCTGAGAAATTTTCTATAGAAAACTAGTCTCAGTTACTGAGAAATTTTCTATAGAAAACTAGTCTCAGTTACTGAGAAATTTCTTATAGAAAACTAGTCTCAGTTACTGAGAAATTTTCTACAGAAAACTAGTCTCAGTTACTGAGAAATTTTCTGTAGAAAACTATTCTCAGTTACTGGGAAATTACAGAAAACTTGTCTAGGTTACTGAGAAATTTTCTATAGAAAACTAGTCTCAGTTACTGAGAAATTTTCTATAGAAAACTAGTCTCAGTTGCTAAGAAATTTTCTATAGAAAACTATTCTTAGTTACTAAGAAATTTTCTTTAGAAAACTACTCTCAGTTGCTGAGAAATTTTCAATAGAAAACTAGTCTCAGTTACTGAGAAATTTTCTATAGAAAACTAGTCTCAGTTACTGAGAAATTTCTTATAGAAAACTAGTCTCAGTTACTGAGAAATTTTCTACAGAAAACAAGTCTCAGTTACTGAGAAATTTTCTATAGAAAACTAGTCTGAATAGCTAAGAAATTTTCTATAGAAAACTTGTCTAGGTTACTGAGAAATTTTCTTTAGAAAACTAGTCTCAGTTACTATGAAATGTTTTATGGATGTTGGCTCAGTCAGTTGCAGGACTATTCTACAAATTTGAAAGTGAAGATTCATTATAAGTTTAAAGTGTGAGGATGTATCAGGCTTTTTGGTTTTCATATGTTAGTGACAATTTTCAGGCGAAAAAAAACTAAAATAAAAACTCTAACAGCTTCGGGTAGATGGTGTTAATTGTGTTTCGCAGAAAAAAAAAACATAACAAAAACGAAATATAAAATCTGTTTTCATTTGTGTTAGTATAAATACGTTTGTATTCGTGTAAAATTCTACCATTTTTATAGGACTTAGTTTGGCTGTGAATATATGATACGAAATATCCACAACCGCCGCTGACAACACCATTATCATCATTGTCGCTAAACAAACTATTCTTCAAAACACCTTACATCTCTCTAGGGGATTCCATTAGGATCAACCACATACTCGCGTATCCAGTGACAGTTGGATTTGCATGGTTAAAACAAAGTTGAATAAAATTCTGTTAGAATAGCAAAATAGTGTAGAAGGTAATAGGAATAGTAGATTGTAGTATAAGTTGCAGTATTAGCAGCACAAGTAGTAGTAGTAGTAGTTTTAGCAGTAGTATTTTAAACTTGAGTGCATAAGATTGCTGAAGTTGTGATAACAAATATTGTGTTGAGTGACATAGAGTTTTTAAAGTTATTAGGATTACATGTGTTATAGGGAAAGTGTTTTATTTTGTGAGTTTAGAAAATATTTGATTATGTTAAGAAACTTTAATAACTTTCGAAATTTTCATATATTTGGTCACATTTATAATTGTTATTGTTTCAAACATTTGACAAAAATCAAAAGAAAATACGTCTGATTAACCGAAAAACGTTAAAAGAAAAACTTGTTTCAGTACCTCTAGGAACTGGCATTTTCAATTAAAAATTTTCTTAATGGAACTTGAGTCTGTTAC